GATAACCGAGGAGAATTGGTCTGTAAATATCCCAGCTCCCTTGCCCCTTGGAAAGGATAATCCTGACGAAAGGTAAGTATGTGGGTCAATACTAAAGACTTTCCCCTTCATTTTAAAATTTCAATATTTGTTTAATTTGAAAAAATTAACATTGAGTTGTTTATATACACACACACATATACATATATGTATGTATAAGTTATAAACAAAGGTACTTCAAAAAGTTCATGGAAAATTAGAATTAAAAGATAATATGACTCTTTCCATGAACTTTTTGAAGACCCTGTGTGTGTGTGTGTGTATTTTTTTCTTCTTCGTGTATTTTATTTATCATCTGCCTCTTCCACATTAAAGAGTGAGATCCAGGAGAGCAGGGATTCTTGTCTGTTTGGGTCATTGCTGTGTCCTCAAGCCAATGCGGGGCCCCATGCGCAGGTGCACAGTGCCTGAGCCGTGCCTGTGGTGGGCGTCGACTCCAACAGAGCAGAGAATGGCGGCTGGCGTGGGGTGCGGGAGGGGATTAGGGAAAAGTTCAGATGACTTATGATGCTCTGCATCACATCTTGTCATCTTATTCTGTCCTAACCGTGATTTTCCTTCCCTGTCACATTACGGCTATTCAAGAGCTGTCTGTACCTGGCTCACGATATTTCTCTGTATTTAAATTTCCAAAATAATTGACCAAAGGAAAAACGTGGTCGCTGCTGGACTAGACCCATCGAAGTAACTACACACTTCACGACCCCTGCTGTTGCCTCTCTNGGCTTACTACTCAAGTATATTTGTATACATAGTTTCCTGGAAGTATACGAATATACTTATTACTCAAATAAGCAGTAAGTATGTTTGTACATACTACAGTTTTGCTAATCAGCTCTAAGTTAGCTAAACAACTTCTCTTTTCTGGAAATCAATCGAAATAAATCATTTTCAGTTTTGGTGCAGCTAAATCAGGAATATTTATTGCCCTTAGAAACTAGCTAGTCCACTCAATAAGTATAAATAATAGTGGTGGTGAGTAGTGTGGGCATTGGGACACTGGAAAAGAAATGCCCTGGACAATGGTATTAACTGGTAGCAAAGCCCCTGCCTGTAGGAACGTATGGATTTAGGAAGAGGAGGAAGGTCGTGTCCACAGGGTGATCAAGAAAGCTGCTCAAATAAAGTAGGACATTTCTGGTAGAACCAGAGCAGTAATAATTTATTTCTATTTGCAAACTTCTTCCTTCTCCTTTTAAATGCCCCCAGATTATGGTAGGTCTGCCTAAAGTCAGCAAATGGCACTGCGTGCCCCCCCCCCCTTTTTTTTGCCTTTAGGCTGATTTTGACAGAGCTGCAGAAGATGTGCGAAAGCTGAAAGCAAGACCAGATGATGAAGAACTGAAAGAACTCTATGGGCTTTACAAACAAGCCATCATCGGAGACATTGATATTGGTATTACATCATCATTTTAAAAATAATTTCTTCATTTGAACAGTATTTATAGAAACCCATAGTAAAAAGCAAACTTGAAAATCTCTCTCTCCTTCTTTTGGCAGAGTGTCCAGCAATGTTAGATTTAAAAGGCAAGGCCAAATGGGAAGCGTGGAACCTCAAAAAAGGTTTTTAAATCTTTAACAAGTTTCAACAAACTTTGTTAATTTCCCCATGCACCAATCAATGAGATGATCTGTTTGTATCTTTCTAGGGTTGTCAAAGGAAGATGCCATGAGTGCCTATATTTCTAAAGCAAAAGAGCTGATAGAAAAATATGGAATTTAGAATTCAGTATATGCGAATTTTTCCCTTCTGAAGCCTTCATAATGGTATTATAACCTGACATTTAGAGGGGAAACTATAAATGTTAACTCTGTGTATCACGTACAGTTTTGCTATTAGCATGAATTGTGAAAATTGAGTGTGCAGAAACTACATAGTTAACTAAATGTTGCTTGCTTCAACCAG